AAAAATTAAGTTAAAAAAGAAAGTCCTTTGCACATCACCATTTTAATTCTAAAACAAGCATTCACAACAGCAGCCTGCATGTGAAGCAGGCTACAGTCCCTAGATTTGCATTTAATTTCACTGAAACAAATATTTGTCTTATTTTACACAGTTTTAATTTTTAGATTGAGATGAAAGCTCCTGTAGTATTATAGTCATACATATATAGCAGATCACAGGTACTGTAGAACCTCTTGGAACTTTTTCTTCTGTATTTCTAGACTCTTGAAGTTACTCATGCAGAAATACTTATGACATTGAACCATCCAAGTCCATTTATCAGACTTGTCAGAGTTTCCTTTCACTAACATTATTTTTGCTATTTTTTCTTCTTTTACATGTGATAATTATGATTGCAATAACAATGCATGGCATATAATTTGATGGTATTATTGATAAATAACCACAGTGTGCTTATTTTTGGGTGTGTAATACCAATAAAGAGACTAGGGGATATATTGCCTTTGCATTAGAAATATATTATAAATATAAAAGGATAATACTTTTCTTACTGTAAAACTATTGGTGGTTGCAGAATAAAAACCTTCCTGTAGGGTTAATAAAGGATGGAGTAAGTAACAGCTGGATGCAAGCAAGAAAAATACATTCAGCTGAGTTTTGAGAAGAGCTCAAAGATGACAGAGAAAGGTGCCATCCTGGTAGACATCAAAGGTTGCAGGAGTCTTAATTAGTTTATTTAAAAACAAACAATCAACCCACAAAACAAACAAACAAACAAAAAAACCACCTCCCCACAAGAACCTTAATTATGTAATCAGAAATTATTTATGGGAAATTTTAGGCTTTTAAACACACTGCTGCATTGCCATCAAACAAGATTTTAACCGTAACTTAGAAGTTCATTGGGAGTAGCTTTTTGGTCTAAAAACTCAGCTATAATTATTACACAAAGCTCTTCCTCTAGGTCCTTGCAGTTCTCAGATGCCACTGGATGAAAGCCACCATGAGACCAAAGTTTCCTAGAGCATTTTTGTATGTCTTTGTTTTATTAACCACTCTTGAAAAAAATTAACTTAAAGTCTGAATGGAAACAGCTTATGTTCATCTGCACTTAAAAGCAAGTAAAAGACATGAGGTTGTTAATCCAATTTACATATGAAAGGGTATAAATCATTGCTCCATCTCAGCTGATGTACCTACTCCTACTACAGGCGTTTCCCTAAAAATCAATAAACCCTTCTGATGCAAATACTTCCATCCAGAGCTGAGACAAACCCCTGATATATATTGCCTGTTCAAAATAAAAAACTACTGAAAAGAGCTTTTTACATCATCACAGCTTTTTATATAACTGCAAATAAACCCAAATCTAGCAATTACTTCCCAGACAATAGTTTCTCTATAGAAAATACAATCTTCTGCAAGAGAAAATTCAATAGATGAGGATTGTCCTGGACAAGTAGGTTTGATAAGTGACCAGCTAAACGTTATAGGCCAAAACTCTATTAAATATGTCCTATTAAGCATAGCTCAAGGATGTGATATGATCAAGCTGGGACTGAATCTCATATCCATGGACAGTCTATGGACCGTGGGCTTCAAAATTTTCTCTATATGAAAGTTTAGTAGTTTTTTTCCTATGTATTTATTAAAGTTATACTGCTTAGAACAGGAGAATTTGCAACACACTTATCAACACAGAGAGCCCCAGGAGAGTTTGGTTTTGTTTGTTTGTTTTTTTCCCCCAAATAATTTTTTCCATAGTTACTCAGTAGCTGTGGAAACTTGAAAATTGTATCGAGTTCCCATTAATTAATTATTGAAGCAATACATAATAGACTTAAACCAACTGCTACCACTTCCCAGTTTCTTTATCAGGCCTTTTTGGCACCTCCAAATGTTTCTGGAATAAACTTAATTTTTTCAAATGGTAGGACTATGAGTGCTTTGCACAGCAAGAGTGCTGGGGGCGGAAGGGGGTAGTAGCTCTATAGACAAGTAGGACCTTAAAATTTGCATTAGCATTCAAAGCCACACAGCCATTATCAGCACATTTGATCTTATTATTGTGAATACAAATAGAACCATAGCTCACACCCAAACCAGAAACAGGTCAGATATACTTATTTATATTGAGGCAGAGCAAACCACCAACTAAGAGTATTTCCACAATGCTAGCAGCATCAGGCACACCACAGCTCAGTCAACAGCAGCTCCCTAACTCTGCTTTGAGGCTAGTGGTTTTCACACCAAGTCCATGAAGACCAAAACACAGCTCTGAGGTTTGTTTTCTGTCTACAAGCTTTTAGTCATTTAACTATAGATATAATATATAGGCATCACCTGGTGCAAATTACAACCTAAAGCTCAGAAAGTTGCTTGTTGTCATCTTGGAAGACACTGGCACAGTGCTGCACTTTGCTCTTTCTACTTGACCATGATAATGCAAGCATAAGACATTTACAGCCTGGATTCACCTGAACAATTTTAGACTTGTGAGTGCTTTTGAAGTGTGACATCCCAGGAGAGAGATCAGACAAGCTATATCCAGCTCCTATTTTACTTCATCAATTCTAATAGGAGTCAAGACTGAGACACAGCCACCTACACAGTTGATGGCTTCAGTTAGAGATCTAGCAGGTAGCTCAAGTAATTCAGTTTCTCTCTAGCTGCATGTCTCCAAAAACAAAGAGCCACAGGAAAAACAATATTCATAAATCCCAGAGGCAGGTAGTGCATTTGTGAAGTACAACAAGATCAATGTGAACAGACTGGAAATCACAACTTCAGGGCTTGTAACTTGCAAGACGACCGCATTCTTCAGATGTTTGTGCTCCCTTGAAGGAGAAGCTTGTCTGTGATTACACTAAAAATTGCTTTAAGTATCCAGCTGTTTTACACTCCTTTTTAAAATTCACCCAGCTACCACACATTCCAAAGCATGGGAACAGAGATACATTTACTAATATGTATTTACACTAATCTGACCAAAAGCGGTATTGCTCATCCAGGATCAAATTCCATCTCAACGTGAGCAGCCAAAGTGAGTTGAACTTGCAACATAAAGTGCTGCCAGAGTCCTATTTTGAGGATACAAGTATCATTTAAGAATCATGCTGGTTTTTTGCAATGAGCACAAGTCTATTCCTTGAGATTTATTCTCCCATTTCATGGGAAACAACTGTCTGGCCTATCACACTGCCTCCTAAGAAGGACATTTCATAGATATAGTTGAATGAGCCCTTTTTCAAGTTATGTGAAACAATTTCCAACATCTACTTGTCAAGCAGAGCCACATGGTTGAAGGCATTTAAAGCATTGCAAGGCCTAAAGAAATAAGGAGCTATTATCATGTTATTCATTCAGGGAGCCACCTCTTCTTCCAAGCTCTCTCCCTCAAAGAAACAAAGCATAAGGTCCTAAATGACCTTGGACATGGTGTGCTGCACAGGGAAGCCCAACCTAGCACCACAGCTTTTAGCTACCGAAATAACATGCTAAAGGTGTATCATTGCAGCTTCCACACCAAACTAGAGCTCCAGCCTTTTCTGGATTCCGCTGAGGAAATTGCTACAGCTAGGAGGATATACGAGAGAGACAGATAGGACATACCACTGAGAGATTTTGCTGTGTCTTCCTCTGCTGCATAGGTATAACCTCAGGATCACAAAACTGGAACGACAAATCCTTCAACAACCTTGCAACACTCAACATACGGGCTATTTATAGCCTTGAAAAGACCTGGTCTTCATTGCCTGAAACCCTACAGCAAGATTGCTTGCCATCTGCCTACTTAAATTGACCATTTGTCCCTATTAGAGGCAGCTGTGCTACTTGAAGCAATTAAGGTGGCACAGAAGGGAAGTGACATATTTTATTTGGGAAGAGAGTGTTGACATCACTGACACATTCATGACTATGAAGAGGTGACATTCTGCAGTATGTAACAAAAAAAGGCATTCACCAAACATGAGCCTTTACAGAACATCAAATATGAGCCTTTTCAGAAGTTCTAATTCAAGAAATGTGTTTCCTTAAAGTTATCCTTTGTTCCTATTAGGGAGATTTGCACCAAATAAAAGAATTATGTCTCTGACAATGCAAATCATTTATAGTCACTGGCCAAAGTTTTACAGCATATGTATTTGCCTTTTGATACAGGACATCTGTGAGCTAGCAACAGTAATAAATCTGCATGTTAGCACAGATAATTTTCCAAGTTTTAGGTCAAATGCTATCAAATTTAACTTATCAGCTCATTAAGATAAAACAAGCCCTTTTGTCATTGGCTTTCTGTTTAGCTGCCTGGTTCCAGAACCTGGGACACAGTAAATAGGTTCCTTTTTTTGTCTGTAGCATAGTGTGAATGCATAATGCCCATTGGTTAGCCTTATAAATCATACATGGGGAAATCACTGCTTGAGCCCTTGCTAGAAGAGGAGAATGTGATGATTTCAGCATGTTTCAGAGACATTCCTAAAATAGCTAACTGTTCTGTAATTCTATCGCAGCGTAACGCCTGAGCTTAGTGGTTTGGTTCCCTCATCTGCAACCATACTATTTTTGATCTTGTAAAACTTCAAGCTAAGCAGTGACAGGCTTTTGAGCTGGATACTTTGAGAGTAGTGATACTTGTGTTTCATAGGTGGTAGCCTTAACTATGAGTAAACGTGGAGAATGGGTTGCAGCCTTGCAGAGCTCTTTGCACAGGAAACTCTGTCCTTTTGCTGGGCACAGAGTGCAATGTCCACAGACACAGCCCTTTGCAAGTGTAAGACATGAGAAAGAAAGAGGTCTGCCATATGGGAGAGGTAAAAGAGTCACCAGAGACTTGAAGAAAGGATTACTTGAATGTGCTCCAGAAGGTCTGGAAGAGCTCAGACAAGGAAAATTTAGTGAAGCTGTATGTCACATCACAGGACTTGTGCTGTAAGACGTAGCTGTAAGGAAGATGAAAAATAAGAAGTGACCTTCTTTTAATAATGTGTTTCTTATTTTAGAGTCTACATATCGTCACCAAGCTACCATTGATGATGAAGTGGTTTCCATGGAGATACTAGATACAGCTGGTCAGGTGCGTGGGTACATGTGCTGTTATCCAATACCTTGGCTCAGATAGCAGGAAAGGGGAGTGCAGTGGTGGCAGCAATGTGGTGGGTGGCAGGTGTGCTCCACTTCTGGGGACAGAGATTTGCTTCTGAGCAGAGTTCCTCTACCACCAGACCTGAGTTCCACACCCAGAGTGCTGGATCAAAACCCTTATTCAAGGGACCCTGCTTAGATTTTTCAAATATTGGAAGAACAACATTAAGGTTTTTTCTCATGTTAAAATGGTTTTGTTCTAATTCCTCAATTCAGAGCCAACCCAACAGCACATTTTTACTAGGCACAAAGTCACAGTATATTTCTACAGTCAAGTGATGAGGCTCAACAGTCCCAGTGTATGATTTCCACCAAAACAAAGAATAGTTTTGTCATAGTCAGGTCCCTCCTTCTTTCAAAACATGACAGGTGCTCACACTGCTGGGTTCTGGCTATCTGGCAGCTTGTGTGCTGGCTATTGTGTAACAGAGACCTTCTTCCAATTGCCTGCTACCAGCCTGTCCACAGGCAGCCCATAGCACCTTGGTAGAGTAGATGTCCTGTGCCACATGACAGAAAAGGTGATGTGCATAAAATACAAAGTCAAGCAGATTTATTTACATAGCTTTGCAACAGGGGGGACAAACATCTATCTGAAGGCCTGTTGTCTTTTTTGTAAATCATATTCCTAAGGCTGGTGTCTGTCTTTTCAAAACAGGAGGATACTATTCAGAAAGAAGGACACGTGCGATGGGGTGAAGGCTTTGTGCTGGTTTATGACATCACGGACAGAGGCAGCTTTGAGGAAGTGCTGCCACTTAAGAACTTGTTGGATGAAGTTAAAAAACCCAAAAACGTCACCCTGATCCTGGTGGGGAATAAAGCAGACTTAGATCACTCCAGGCAGGTCAGCACAGAGGAAGGTGAAAAACTGGCCACAGAACTAGCGTGTGCTTTTTATGAGTGCTCTGCTTGCACAGGAGAGGGCAACATTATGGAGGCCTTCTATGAGCTCTGTCGTGAAGTGCGGCGTCGAAAGATGGTCCAGGGCAAGACTCGGAGACGAAGCTCCACTACCCACGTCAAGCAGGCTATTAATAAGATGCTTACCAAAATCAGCAGCTAAGAAGAGCTGCACTAGCCAGAGAAGAAGCATTTTTAAGCATATGAGCTTGGAGCAGGGACAAGGCAGGCAAAGAATGTTTAATAAAAAATGGTAAAAGCTTTGCAATTAAAAAAATGTAAAAGACAAACCACACCACTTTTTTTGAGTAACACATGGTCAGACTTTTTTCCTGTTTCAAGATGTATTCAGCCACACTGCTTCTGGCTAACATGAGAAAAATAGAAAAAAAAGAGAAAGGAAAAAAAGAAAAAACAAACAAACAAACAAACTCCAAAGGACTAGATGATTGTGGAGATTGGTGCTGACAGAACATCATCTGCTTCTACAAGGCTGGCCCCAATCCTCCACAAGTCAGTAGTGCCTAAGCATTGTTTCCAGCCAGCCAGCTGCTTAGTAGCCGTTGGAGAGTAAGATCCAGTCATCAGTCCATCAACAACCATCACAGCCAGTGTTCTCAAGGACTGTACACACATCCAAGCTGCTGCATTGTACCGGAAAGTTCACCTGACACATTTCACCAGCTCTAAATTGGTGCATTGTGTGCTTTTACTCCAAACTGTCCTTCCTTGTTGTTATTTTTGTTCAATCTTTGAGTGCTGATGTTCTAAGAGAGGTACGCAAAAAATATACAAAAGGTCTTTTTCATTGAGCATTTCACTAGCAAGACACACTTTTCAACAGAGATGAAATTCAGCTGTGTTTCCAGATCCTCTGAAACTACAGAATTCATCAAGAAATGATCAGCTAGTCCAGTGACATTTCAGCATTTCTGTCTCAAAGTGCAGTATTGTACCTGGAAAAACAGGAGTGTATGTGTTGGGAAACCAAACTAAACAATAATCATATTACTCTTGATTTAGTTATGGGTAGTTTTAGCTTTTGTTTACTTTTTTTTTTATTTCAATTCAAGTAGTTCCTCTTATTCTATACTATTCTTATACTGAAGAAGATCTAAACCCATGAGAAAGCAAGTATTTAAAGTGTAAGCCCAAATGTAAATCAGATGCAAATGGCTTCTACCATATTGAAACACTATAATTTCCAACTGTTTAAACTTCCAGGTGTTGCCTGAAACACTCTGTGGTTTAAGCCAGCACAGGTTGGGGTTTTTTTGTGACTCTATCTGGCATATTCAAGTGAAAATGCATTTTATCAGATTTTGGTGCCTGGGGTAAAAGATATTCCATTTTTTCTCCTCCCTCATGTGTCTCATTTAAGCCAGGTGTCAGTTTTTCACTCCTGGCTACTTGGCTTGTTAACTGTGTGCTAAGAGTTGTATGAACAAAGACTGGATGATTTTTTTTATCAGATTGTGCTGCTCTCCCACCTGTTGTGTCACATCCCCTTAGGCAGTATGGTGTGCAGCTCACACTGGCATTGTGTAGAACCACAGCCAAGGGTTGGCATGAAAAATGGAAATATTAGCAGTGTTCTCCCTTGAGGAGTAGCCCTCTTGTAGCAACTACTTACAACTTTATTCTCCACTGGTTTGTCCTTCATATGGTTATTTGCCTCTATGAGGAAGTAGCACCAAAAAGCTGTCAAATACAAATTGCCCCACATATAGGAGAATGAGGATATCCAGTTGGATAGCACTTTACACAGTTATAGGTAGCCATATAGGAGGTGAAACTGTCAGGACAACCAAGCCTGTATGTCCCTGTGGACAAACAAAAGTCTCAAGTCAGGACTTATCAAACAGAGTCACTTAAAGATACTTTACCAAAGTAATTTTTTTTAAAAACACTCTCTCATCCATATCTTTTGCTCAGCCAGCATCAAAGACCATCACATTCATATGTATATTTTATTTGTGCTGTTGCTTATTTTCTCCATTTCCCCCATTCTAGGTAGTGAAAACCCATTTTCTCTTTTGGAATCAATGAATCAATATCTATAATGTGGTTCTCATATTCAGGTATGTTGCTGTATTTCAGCTACACACACTGCAACGGAAACCTCACCATGTGCTTCTGGGCAGGGGATTGTTGCAACAGGTGATGCCACTATCTCCATGACACACCTGTGGCAAAAAAATATACGTCATATCTCTAACTTTTGCCAGAAAAAGAAAAAAAAAAAAAGGAGAGATTTTGCCATTTTTAGTCCTACTAGTAATGCAGAGTCAGTAAGTGTGTACAAGAAAGAGCTAGTACCTGTTCACATGCCAGTAGTCATTAGCTGAAGGTCTGAACTTGCAAATGTGTATGTTACAACATCAGAAGCCAGAGTAAGCATTTCGCTAGGTCATTCTGTTATCTTCCAATTCAGTGCTGTTGCAGAAACTTGAAGTAAACAAAATCCTTAGCTGCTATCCCATGGCAAGATAGCTGATGAGGAATGTAATTAAGTCGCTATGCTAAGCAAGTGATTTATCCTTTTCTAAGATAACTTCAACAGGTCTTTTCTCTGAAAACCTTTTTTTGAGTTTCAGAGTAATACTGCTTTAAAATACAAAAAGGTAATATGTGAATTGCAAGAGAAAATAACTGAATCATATTCATATTATGAGACTTGAAAGGAAAGAGAGGCTAAGTTATGCCCCTAATGTTTCCAGAAGAATCCCAGCAAATTATGTCTTCTTTTATAATGTCTGTACGGAGAAGTTATAGGATCCTGGTGAAAGAAAATGTTCCACTGTGCAAACATGACTTGTTACATAAAGAACCTCTAATAAAAATAGTAACATTCCTTTGCAAAGACTGAATTTGGAAACTGCCGAACATGATAAACATTCAAAAAGTAGGCTGCTGTTTTGTGACCTTTCCTCCCACACAAACACACATTTCTTTACTTAATTGTTCATTATTTTTTTCCTCAGTGTAATAACTGTGAAGCCAGTGATAGTATATTACAATCTGTTGATACATATTACATAGTATTACAGTCAATCTGATTTACTGTTGCTCACAATGTTGCAACATATTATTGGCTATTCTATAAACATGTCATATTTCTACAATGTGCAAAGTGAGCCAAAAAAAAGTGCCCAAGGATTCAAAAGGCCAAATGCAACATAAACCCACAGCTGCTAGCCTTTCTGCAGGAGAATCAACAGTGTAAATTCTGATTCAACTACTCCTATTTAAATACATATGTGGCCCTACATTACATTCCTCTCCTCTGCCCTGTATCATTTCTGCAGTGAGAGTATGGGCAGGACAATAAACAAAAAGGGGGAGGAAAGGTGAAATGGATACTTGTTACCTACAACAAGTTAATTGTAATTTATGAAGTTTTTAAATATTTATCTTCAATTGATGAAGAGTTAGTCATGCCCATGCTGGAAGACATGGATCAGGAACCAAGACTTCCCTAGAACTTTGCGAATCTTCATATATGGAGGTTCAGTGAAACCACAGATGGAAGGGAGGGTCAGCTACGGGTTTGAACCTGGATCCAGACAAGTTGTCCCCAAAACTGGGGATAGTTGCATCTGGCAGTTTGCTCCAAGACTAGTTGATTTTTTTATATATAATGATCTGTATGCATTTTTACATTAGATATATGAAAGCTTGTGCCTGTAGATAATATATGACAAAATAAAAATAGAAAAAAATAGTGCTTTCTGTACTGAACTCTTATGCACTGATCTTCCTTTAGTCATCTCTGGAGCATTGTCTTCAAGCTTTTAAGGGGCCATTTTCAGAAGTCCTTATTCAGTTTTTATTTAGTCTTTATCTAAGGAAAACAAACAGTGAATTTGGCTGAATAAGCACTTCAGCATTTGGATCAGTTTATTTGAACTTATTTGCTGCTAGGCCTGGAATCAAGAGGTCAGGCGGCATCTACAGTAAAGCACAGAACTGAATGTCCTTGCTAACTAATTCAAGGCTGATCAAAAAGGATGTAGTGCCAGGGTTATTAAATGACCTCAGTGAAACCCACCACTCCTACTCTGCCCTGCCAACTAAAGAACATGGATAGTGAACCTAAAATTTTCAGGCAAAATCCTATGCTAAGCAGTATGGGAGGCTTATGCCAGCAATTTGGACAGAGACCACTTTCACCTACTGCCAGGTATGCCCACTTTCCACAGATAGTGCTCTACTGTTCTGAACAGAGGGTACATCATGTTATCTTACATAAGGTACATTGTATCAATGGTAAACCTTCATAGTGTGGGTATTAAACTATAGCAGAAGAAGCTTCACAGCAGAAGGGGTGAACCAGTTGTAATCCAATCTAGTTTTCCTCCAAAGCTGGGCCAGGCAAGTAATCCAAAGCATGATCACAAACAGCTGAATGACAGTAGGGGCATAAGAATGTCACCTCCGGCAGAACACTGCGTGAAATCTGGTGTAGGATCTACACTGTGAGGTGAAACCTCCCAAAACTAGGTAAGGCATCATTCCAGTCACTGCCTCTCTAGCACTGTAAAGCATCCTTGAGTTGTGTAAAGCTGCACAATAACTTCTTCCAGTCAAAATAATGTCTCCCACACAGCAAGTTGCTGCAATCATAAAGGTTCTGTATACACAGTGTTTGGGGTTCCTTTCTCTTTACTATCTCAATCTATTAGCATATCTAGAGAAGACAGAAAAAAAATAAAAATTACTGAAGCTTTAATTAAAAAAAAACTCCTTGGCATTTTTATGTATCTGCCTTCATCTTTGAAAAATTAAACAAAAGCAAAAACAGTGTCATTGCAGAAACTCATGTGTGCACTTTATTTCCATTACAGATGTCAGGTGCTAATTACTTCAGAGTTATGAAAATACAGAGCCGCAGCTTGTCATCCTGGGGTTTTCAAGGTTACTGGGAAGTAATAATGATGGCTTGGGTGAGGCCATTTCAGTCTGGGCTCTATAAACACAGTTCCACATGAGGACAGCTATTGCTGCAGCTCACAGCAGAAAGAGTCAGGCTAAGCTGTCAGGGCAGGGTTTCACTGATTCCAGTGGACATGCATGGGATGGGTCAAGATGCTGGTTCACAGCCTTGGGAGTCAACACATAGAGAGAACACTCCAATAACTAACCTGTCTCACCCACTTGAAGGATCTCCACACCATTTGTAGTTTT